AAATAACTAGTAACAGTATCTGTGTCCTGTAGAGTGTAGTTACAGGTAAAAGATAAGCTTAAAAATGTTAAACTACAGGGGCTGTCAATTTCTGCCTTCTTACTCATCTCTGCTATTCTGTTTTAATACTGCAAGGAGACCAAATAGGAGTATGGTCTGCATTAACAGTTGCAAGAGTTTTGTATACTTATTTAGTTAGGACAGAAAATAAACTACAATAAATGGAATTACAGTAACGCCGTGTGCAGAACAGTCCTTAAACACAGTGATGAGCTGTCCATGGTAATTAATGTAGATCAGTATCCACTGAAAAAGGATTTTCATGAAAATACTTTGTAGTGGAAGCTTGGCTGATAACTTTTAGTTCCAGCATGAATTACATACCTTCAGATGGCTTTTAGTGTAAAATGGGTGAGCTTGTCTGCCTAGTAAACAAAACTGCAATAAGTTTCCTGAATTGATGCCCCTTAGTAATGATCTTCAAGAGTCTACCTTAATGTCTGAAAATTACTTTCAAAGATTTCGTTACCTCCTTTAAAAACAACAGCAAAATAGATAGATAGATAGATAGATAGATAGATAGATAGATAGATAAGAATCTCTCCGTACACTCAGCTTCTCTGAAGCTATGTCATACCTCTTGTGAGAAGGTTGTTCTCCAGACTGGGAGCTGTGATCTCCTTTTCACATTTTCATCCATAAACAGACTGAACTTTGAAGCCTGTTTATTCATCAGTTAGGGATGAATGTTACCATTGATACTTCTAAATTGTAGAAGCAAATTTACTATGGGAAGGATAGTCCCTAAGCAACACTGAAGCCTCTTCATCTGTACATTGTATTAATGTGTGATTTTGACTGGATATTCAAAAACTCTTCTGTACGCAAAGAAAGCAGAGCACTTCTTACTTCATTGTGAACTAAATTTTCATTTTCTTTATTTTGAAAAGGTTTTCCATATTAGTGAAAGTTTTAAGGAACAAATAGAAAAAAAAAGGGTTATGCGTGAAGCAAAGAAGACCATGTAGTGGAAAAACTATTAGTGATCATATATCACTATCCTAAGTTGTAATGCCAAAACCAGGTTCAGAATAATGTTATTAGCTAGAAGTTTACAGAAAGCTATGGGTCTGTATCTTGCTGAAAACTGTCTGCAATTTGTTAGTTCTATCAGCTCATTTATAAGAGGTATTGCTGTATTTTGCATTTCAAGAGCCAGAAAATGACACATCTTTTGAAAATGACAGCTGTTTAAAGAGCTGCTCACTTTATATTGGGTGATAGTGCTCACTTAACAGTGCTGAAGTATTCAGAAACAACTCATCACAAAAATTCAGGAAAAATTAAGTCATATTCACACTGCCTTTTCACCATCAAAAGTTATTTAATGTCAGTAAATTAAGAAGTGGACCCAGTATCGTTTATTTCTCATTTTGCAAGTAAGTGATATATTCAGAACGGTCACCTCTGCCTGTCTGCAAACCAGGATTAACATAGGAATACATACCTGAAAGGACATTTATCATGCATATAGATTCAGCAGCATCTGGACTTAGACAATATGTGCTAACTGAACTCCAACAAGACACTAGATAAATACATCAGCTGACTGCTTGCTGAGTATCTTTGCAACTTTAGTGTTTAGTCCATGTTTTGCTGTTATGTAATTGTTTGCTGTTGTTAGCACTTATTACAGGTTTAGTCTCCCTACTCAACTCTCTAAAAGATTGCTTATAGCTGACATCATTTAGAGTGCCATCAGCAAGAACAGTGTAAAATTACAGTAAACATTTCGTTGGTAGTCATGTGTTAATGGAGAAGCAAAATCATTGCTATACATCAAACCCAATCAGAAAGAAAGGTCTGCTTAAGAAGCCCAGCAGAATCTGAACCTATCTTTCAAAGTGCCTTTAAATCTGTGGCCAAGGATCAATCAAAAACTGGTCCCTTTTTTGGATTCTTGATATTATTACAGTTTAATTCCCTTTCCAAATGAATGTAGACACAGCAGATCTCAGCAAGAGATCACAACAAGATCCCACAAGAATAAATTATACAAGCCTAGATAATCTTACGGGATCTGTTCACGTCTGGAGAGGCACGTGGCAAAATGCCTTTTGCTATTGCCTAAATTGCTACGATCTTGTAGCCTATTTTCCCTTTTATGTCTTAAATTTATTCCAAAAGGAGGGAGGTGGGGGTTAGAGACACAACAGACTAACAGTATTTTCCTAGCAAGCTAACTCACCTTGGCACAGGAAGCTGCTGATGCTTTGTCTGCCTCTCTCTTTTTCTTCCCCCCACAACCAACATGCACATTGCTGAAGGAAGGACTGTGCTCACAAAAGCAGGCTGAGTAAGAAATAGGAAATCATAGGCCTCAATTAGCATCAGCTTGAAAGCATTCATTGTTTGCTTACATTTCTGTGCATGGGAGATTTAGCCAGATCACAGATTTTGTAAGTTGTTTTGCAAGGTAAAGGTCTAATAGTGCTGATATCAAAGAAGAAAGGAGGTAATTAAAATGCTCTATAAATAGAATACAAATTTGATTTTGTATATCTCAAGATAAAAAAGATTCAGCTGAATGCACAGCCTCCTGGCTGGCTTCTAGAAGAGGTAGTGAATTTCAATTAAAAAAAAGACTTGTTTTGCATGTATGAAGCCAGTTTGTTTCTAAGCCACAAAGATTCGTACCCGTCCTTCATTTTGTGCATGTATCGCGCTGGTTGGTTGTGTGGATAGATTAACTGTGACAAGCTGTGACATCAGCAAGAGCTGGATGCTGCCTGGCTGTGTAGTTTGCAATGCATCCTCCCTTCCCTTACTGCTGGGCTGACTCATTCACTGTACAGGGTGAGTGAATTATGCTTAGTACAGACCCAGTTCTGTCCTCAGCATGGAATGATGTCTTTTGGCATTCTGCTTCTGTGCAGAAGCCTCTGTGCAGAGGCTGTGCTATTAGCAAGCAGATTTTAAGTCTGTGTTTACACAAATGATATAGCTGAGAAGCAAATGAGATTTGTATTAATGCTAACAAATAAAACTGGAAATTACAAAATGTGCCTGTTCTTTAGCATGAGTGAAGTAATATTTGGCTTTAGAGTTTGGAAAAATTGTCTAAATTAGGCTTTCTGTCCTGCAGTGCCTTTGTAAAAAGCACAGACAGTGTTTTGGTTAGGGACTGGTGTGGAGGAATGATCAGTGTTTGTGAATCTGAAATGGTTGAGTAATTGTGTTTATTTTGGGAGACAGGGATTTCACAGAAAAGGACTGACTTCCATACACATAATGGTTGTAGGAAACAAGATTGAGTGGAGCAAGAACATGGTAAAGGAAGTTCTATTGTGAATGAATACCATAGTGCCAGCTTCCAATGAGTTCAGAAAGGAGAGTGCTGTTTATTAGTAACCCAGGAGTCTGCTGATTTCGTAGTTAGTCACTAATGATCTTTGCTTAAAGCTGAGGTATCAGTTTAGAAGTTTTTTTAGTTTGCGTTGAAGAAACCTGGAGCAATCACCATGAGAGGATGACTTCTGGAAAGGTGAATGCTCATGAAATATACTCTGCCCTTCACTCTGAGGTATCATTCCCATGATGCAGTCTTATGGCCTGCTTCTGAGATCAGGAAGTTTTAAAGTGATCAGTAGAACAAGAATTTAATGCATACTGTTGGTGGTTTTGGAGCAAACAAGTTCTCTGTAACAGTCTGAACTTTAAACTGGCTCCGTATCATTCCTCACAGCTGCCAAAAAACAAGGAAGCAGGATCCTTTTGTGTTGTAAGAGACACTTGGAGGACAGCAAGTTGGCCTCCTTGAAAAGATAAACTTGCGTACGTATCCTCTCTATAGCTCTTGACCTTCATCTTGAAGATGCTGTGCCCACAAGTGACTTACTGTCGCTTCACAGCCTACTTTCCTGGCTAAAGAAAACAGCTACTTCCAAAAATGGGTCCTTCTGGATAACCTTGTGGCAATAAGAGGTTGAATTGACAGAGCTTATCAGTGTTTGTGCCTTCATTTTTTCAGTGAACATTTCCTGGAAGAAGTTTCTCCGCTTGTAAAAAGTAAGACACAGGGTAGATGGACTTTTTTTTGGTTCATCAAGTATATTGTGTCTGCTCTGGAGATTCGTGGTCTCTTAAAATGGCATCAAGGATGCAAAAAATGCAGTAAGCAATTCCTTGGGATATTGTATCTAAGGATGCTCGCTGTAGTAGTCACCTCAAAAAGTTGTTTACACTTGAGATGTGGTGCTTAATTACCATGCATACTATGTCACCAGAACAATAGTGACTGCCCAGTATAGCCAAAAACTACATCCTTGCACTATGGGCCAAAGGAGTGTATGCTTGCATGAACCAGCTTACCAGGACACATAGTGATGTTCCATCATACAACTAAACATCTATGTCAAATTAATACTGGTATGTGATATGATCATTATCTCAGCTGACATGATAGCAAGTTGCCTCTTATCTCAGGCCCCACTTTCAGTTATCTCTAGGTAATATAGAAATCCTCCCACAAATGAGAGTCTTTTTTTTTAGGTGGCTCCCTTGTGCACTTCAGCTTTCAATTCTGAAGCCAGCCAGTGCCCCATGGAAAAATTATGTTTACTGTTAAGAGATCATTTGCACCTCACCTCTGCTAACACCTTGTGCCAATTTTCTGTCCCTGATTTTGTCTGCATCCACAACTAGACCACCAGTCTTTTCCAGCAGAAGCTTCTAGTGAATATGTAGCAGGCTCTGCTGCTCTGAGAATGATGTTAGCCACACTGCAAACCTGCTAGAAGAGAGCGATAGACAAACAATAGACATGTCTGGCCCTGCTGCTGTTGCTGTTCTCAGGCACTGAAAGCAAGTCACGTTTTTGACTTGTGTACTATCTGTATCCACCAGAAATGTTAAGGGAGGCTATGCAAGTTGAGCAAAATGTCTGTATGAGAAAGCTACTACTCTAATATATAGGTATTTCCTGTTCATCTTACTTCTAGACCAGACAAAGCTCTCTTCAGTAGAAGACCTCTGCTGATGGTTACCCCATATGCTGCCTTTCATTTCCTGATCAGGACTATGATGTACCGATGGAGGTCAGCCACATTATTTCCTCTTACAGAGAATTTTGTTCACTAACGTTTGATAAAATTACTTTCACATGTTATCAGAGATTCAATACCTGACAGAAGGTTACCTGGAACAGAAACACTCCCTGCCTATGTATTTCCTGATGTCTTTACAGATAAGGTATTTGGTCCAATGTCTGTGTGTGCACTTGCTTTACAGACTTTACTACTGTACCCCTGGAAAGGATCAACTTAGGACAGAAGAGAGAAAGATGCAACCTGCTGAGCACAGGAAGCCATAGGCCAAGGAGCAGAAGCAACAGCTGTGCTAACTGAAGCAGATCTGGCTGTGAAATAGATTGCTGACTTGCTAAAGCAAGGTCATCAGTTCCCCGATGAGAGATTGAGTGAGTGAATGGGAAATTGCTGACTTGCTAAAGCGAGGTTGTCAGTTCCCCCATGAGAGATTGAGTAAGAGAATGGGAAATAGACTGAAAGTGGAATGGATAAGATTCACAACATGAAGCTTTTGCAATATATTCATGGAATCAGAGAATTGCAGAATGGTTTGGGTTGGAAGAGACCTTAAACGTGCTGTGTGCAGGGCTGCCACCAGCAAGATCAGACCATCCCATCCAGCCTGGCCTTGAACACCCCCAGGGACATCCACAATTTCTTTGGACAACTTGTTCCATTGTTTTACTACCCTCTGAATAAAGAATTTCCTCATAGTATGTAATGTTAATTTCTCCTCTTTTATTTTAAAGCCATTTTGCCTTGTCCTATTGCTGTTTCCCCATGTAAAACATTAGTCTCCCTACTATTGATATGCTCCCTTTAATTACTGAAAGACCGCAAAGAGGTCTTGAGCCTTCTCTTCTCCAAGCTGAACAATCCCAGCTCCCTCAACCTGTCTTCATAGAAGAGGTGCTCCAGCCCTCTCTGATCGTCCTCGTGGCCTTCTCTGGATGTGCTCTGACAGCTCCACATCTTCCTTTTGCTGGGGGCCTGAATGTAGTACCCCAGATGGGGCTTCACAAGGACAGAGCAGAGAGGGACTATTACTTCCCTCTCTCTACTGGCCACTCCTCTTTTGTTGCAGCCCAGGACACCATTGGCCTTGTGGGCTGCCACTGCACCCTTTTGGCTCACGTGCAGGTCTTTGTCTACCAAGACCCCACATCATTCTCCACAGGGCTGTGCCTGTATAAACTCTATGTTTATATCTGGGATTGTTCCAGTTAAGCCTTGCGCTTGGCTTCTTTGAACAGCATTATGTTTATGTGGACCCACTTTTCAATCTCATGTATCATCAGCCTCCACCTGGATGGAGAGTTACTGACTTCAACCCTGTGTCTGCGTCCATGCATCCAGTTCCTCAACTCCTTATCTTTCCAATTTAGAGAGAAAGATGTTATGTGAAACTGTGTTCAAGACTTTACATAGTCCAGAAAGACTGTATCAGTTGTTCTTCCTTTGTTGACTGATTCTGTCACTCCACCATAAAAGACCACCAGATTGATCAGGTATGCTTTGCCTTTGGCAGAGCATTGGCAAGCTGTCCAGGAGCTGCCTGTGCACCTGAAAATAATTTTCCTCCATACTCTAGAAAAGCAAAGCTGTTAACAATGGTCTACAATCTTTGACTCAGCAAAGGATGGCCCACAAAAAACCTTCTTTCCAGGAAGGAAAGAAATAAGATTTTGTGACGGCAAGCAGGTAGTCCCTACACACACCTCCCCTTACTCATCCCTGTTCATGTTCACAGCTGTTGCTCTCACAAGGCAGCGCAAATAAATGAGTCTGGAAGTGAGACTGTGACAAAGACTGAAAAGAAGTGCCATCACTGGAATATAGCAAACTAGGCCTAGGCTTACAAGGACATTGCTGCCAAAATACCAGTAAACATGCTAACATGCATTTGCTTGTTGTGACTGAAGAAGAGTAAAACTTCATCTGGCAAGTCTCCATGAAAAGCCCAGTTAAGTGACTTTTGAAAGCCAGGCACAAATGAGACAGTGACTGCTGCTCCACATCTGACATAGCCAACAACAAACTGAGAGCAGTCTTAGCCTGACAGGTGTTCAGGTGAAACAATAAGTACATAGATTTCTTTCTGCTTGCTAATAAATGAAGACAGAGGCATCTGGAAACAATGACTTAAGAGAAATCCGGGAGGGAAAATTCAAAAAAAAAAAAAAAAAAAGCTTGAAGATCTATAGGAGTTTACAAGTTTATTAATTATCAAAGGCAATGCAATCTTTTGACTGCTGAGTTGATCAGTTTTGTTTTGTCATTAATGTCATAAAATTATATTTAGTATCACGTCTTGTAGCAGCCTGACAGTTGAGCCAATATTTGTTAGAAAGACTTTCATTCTTCTGCTATTATTTGTGTGGCATTATTAAGTATTTACAAGACAGTAGAGTTAATCATTTCTGTGCTCACTGAATGTAAGTGTACAGGTAAGCAAATATTTCAATAGAACACAGGGTATAACTGGAAATAGTTAATGGATCTGTGGGAACAAGACAACATTCTGTGGCAAAATGTTTGTCTTTGAACTTTGGAATGGGACTGCCAGACTTTTTTTTTCTTTTTTATTTTTCTTCCAAATAACTATACTGTAAGTCCAGCAGTAACTTCTGAAATGCTCTGTGGGCAGTAAAATAAATACTAAAATAAATCTTTCTTCCATTTGCTTAATTATTTAATCATTCTGTTACATTATTTGACTTTGGCAGGAACATCAAACCTGTCAGTAGTTGCAGACACAACACTGTCTGTCATGGTGGCAGGGCATACCTTGAAAGAGGAAAGCCAGCCTCAGGTCTTTAGTAAGAGTGTGACCTTCTGGGACTAAAAGTATGTGCTTGGTTGTATCACAGATGGAGTTGGTATGGTAAATATGGCTTGGATTATGGTTTTTTTGCCTGTTTTGCTCTGCAGATGGTAGAGATGCAGATGGCACTTTCTCTACTTCACGTCATAATTCTTTATTCAGTAGGCAATTCTGTGAGCCCCTTATTTCTCTGAGAACTTCAGGATTACTATTACAGGTTCTTCAGTGAAGTCTTCCCTTGTCAAGAGAGGTCAGAAGAAGCCTCAACTTAGCAGGCTTGGAGTCATTCTCCTCTGTTAATGGCATGGAAATAAATGAATTGTGAATCTCAACAGAGAACAGTGATTTAATAGTTCTTCTGTTGATTGTCCTACTCCCACTTTTTACCCTTTGTGGCTAGCATTCCTTGCTAGATCTAGTCAGTCACAGATCTGCAATTGACTGTCTCTCCTGCTTCTATCTTAGGACACTGTATCTGCAGCTCCTTTGTACCTCCATAGCAGAGACAAGGTACCTGGGACAGAGTAGATGAGACAGCAGGGGCAGAGCTCAGGCTGCACTCTACCAGTGAAATCTGGTTTCTCTGGCAAGACTGGAGAAATCATTTCTGATTTCCTGACCAGCCGTCTTACTTGACTAGGGTTGGACTAAAAGAGTGCTTACAAAACCTTTAGTCAGTGCATATCGAGGGCAGAATTTTGACACCAGTCTATAGCTTGTGCTGAACAGCAATAAGTTATATTGCCAGAATATTTTCAACAAAAGTTAATTTTAATTCCTGGGTGGCACATCATACTGGCAAGAATTCTATTGTGTCAGATTTCAGTTAAATCAAGCTACAGGTTCAGAAATTATGTGAAACAGTACACAACCCATGTAGCACATCATATTTGCTTTCATTGGATATTGAGTAAGAAAAGTCTTTCAGGCATTTAAGGTATGTCTTCAAATGTATCATAAATAAATTGCAAATAGAAATTCGCAGCCCCTGGGTGGAAGAATTTCACTGATTTCGTGCAGCTCCATTCCCAAATCGTGCACTCCTGAGTTGTCTACTCCTGCAAGCATTGCTAACACAAAGGGAAGCCCCTTAGGATTTTCCTATGTGTTCGAACATATGCATTTAAATGTGGCTAACATAATTCCACTTCTAGGTACAGATGCAAGTTGGAAATGAAAATCATTGCAGATTGAGATCCTAGAAGTGCAAAAGAAATAGGAAGTAAAGGCTAACAGTAAAGTAAAAATTGCAGACATTTCACATGTAAATATGCTGTTCTTTGAAAGGTATGGAGCTGTTTCCCAGGTGGGCCTAAACTCATAGAAGCACTATAGTGTAGCTGTATTATATACTGTAAATTAAAGAGCCTTAGCAATATGAGACAAAGCTGGCCTTTGAGTAGGAAATCAAAAGGAAACTGAAAAACCAGGGTAGCCCAAAGCAGTCTAGGTGAATTCTGCTGTAGCAAAAAGTTAGAGAAACTAACACTAAGCACTCAAAACCCGACAGGCATCCTAATTATATTGCTTTTGTTACTGCCACTGAAGTAGGAAAACGGCATGTGTTGGACGAGAAAAATGGCTTGCTTTTGCTTAACACCCTTCAGAGGAAGGAAATCAGTGTGCAGTTCCAAGAACCCTAGTTACGTGTAAATTTTGAAAGCCAAAAGAAAGCAGGTATCTGACTAATTATCTGCAGACAAGTGCTACAGTATTTACATTTAACTTTTTTTTTTTTTTTTTTTTTTTTTTTTTCCCAAAATGATATAATAAAAAAAATTAAAAAAATTTTAAGTCTTATAACAACAAGATTCGTATTATGTGGGAAAAAAAGAGTAAACAA